AAGCCATATTCCTTAATTAAGGGGTATTGGGCTCTCTGGGTACAGGCAATGCAGGAGACTTTGGACATGGCCATTGCGCGAAGCAGCTGCAGGCGACCGTGCCGTAAGGGTGGTTGTCAAAATTAGGGCCCCTTTTTGGGTACCCTAGATACAAGGTGCCGTACTATAATAGGGACCCAAAAAGGGAGCATGAGAGAATCCTTTTTGGGGTGTCAGGGTCCTAAATCGGGGTTTGGGGTTTAGGGTTTTAGGGTTTTAGGGGTTTGGGGTTTGGAGTTTAGGGTTTGGGGTGCCAGGGTCCTCAATGACATAAGGGCCTTCATAATTACCTATACTATCTCGGGGGTTTCTATAACAGGTTTTCAAATGTTTTTGGATTGTTAAAAGTTAGAGTTGTAGAGGTTCAGGGATTTGGACTATTATGGGCATTTGGTTTAGGGTAGGGAGTCAACACTAGACTTAGTTTATTGTTGTTCATGTGTTCGTTGTTGAAGAGCTCGAAAACCTACCTCTGGAGTTGAACATAGAGGCCTTCAGAAAGAGTAATGTTGTTTTTAGGAGTTTCATAGCATACCTGTAGTACAGAGCACCCAGCCCAATGTTTCAGGCCCTTATATGGGTGTCCTGAAGCCTTCAAAATTTGAATGCAGTCATGAATTATTCGGGAGATGCCGAAGCAAGCTGCCGCAATCTGGACCCTGACTAGGGCCTAACCCCTAAATTGGATCCTGGACCCTTAGCTCCTACTAAACCTTAGGGCTCCTTGCAAATATGTTTTAATGTTTGCTTCTTTTGATCACTAAGAGACAGGTTAAATCAAATTTTTTGCTCTACCTGATTCAGAGATCTTGGTCCTTGTATGAACACTACTCTACTATTTTGGGGATATAGGCCCAGGGTTTGTTAATCAGGTTTCTACATTATGATAGTACCCTTCTTATAGATCCCTTATAGTAGCCCTTATATGTGCATTAAAGCCCTTAACCCTGATGGTCAAGATGAGGGTGAATAGAGATGCCTCGGGCCCGAGGACACAGGCTTAGGGGCCATTCGGAACGCGTTAGGGTTTAGGGGTTTAGGGTTTAGGGGTTTAGGGTGTAGGGTTCGACAGCTTGGTTTGGGGTGCCTGGGTTCTGTTACGTGATGGGGTTTTCGATTTCGGTGTTGAGGGCTTGCAGGGCGGATTGAACTTCGAGGCGGCTTGACTCCGGCACTGCCCACGACAGCAAGCCACTAGCGCTTTGCTCTTCCCTCCCCCTCTCTTCCCGACCCTTCCCTCCCCCCTTTCCCTGCATGAGGCAGGGCTTGAAAGTAGGTGTTTTCCCACGATGTTGAGCAGTTTCCTGGTGGTCTCCTGGCATCTCTTCGTGTCTCGATGGGAAATGACTTAATTAGGCTAAGCTGCTGACAGCAGCACGCTACCCTTAAAGCAACATAGACCATTTCACTACCCGACATTGAAGCAAAAGTTCTGACACCATTACCTTTTGTCTCAATTTTCTTTTATCGTTTTACAAGGCCCTGGCTTCCTCCTCAACTAAGGACAGGCTTCTTCTAGATCCTGATAGGCCTGTGGCCAGAATCCTTCATGTATGTGTATACCCCAAGAATGTCCACATGCCATACGCAATTTAACTTTAACGAACAATAATTGCGCACCGCCAGCCGCATTGGGCAGTCGGGCGGGATTCAAGATTATTGAAGGCGGCCTCTACCATGTTTCCGTTTGTTCAGTTCTGTTGTCAGCAAACGGCGGCTTGCATGGTTGCATTTATCGCAGAGGAGTGTCTAGGAAAGTGGCTTGGGTTTGTGGAGTGCCAAGAAAAGGGTTGAAGTGAGGGAATAGCAAAGAGCGTTTGACAGAGGTAGGGTCAACGGGGAAAAAGATCAGACTTGTGAAATGTAAGTTCCGTGTAGGAGTGCAAGGAAGAAGGTTTAGGGACAACGATGTAGGGGCCGGGAAAGGGGTTATAGGGTTTTGTGAAGTGCATGCAAAACAAACAAAGCCCGGAGGGTTTGGTGGAAAGGGTGCGGAGTGGCGGAGTGTGCAGAAGAGATCTCGCGGCTTAGGAACGCAGGTTCAGCACTGAGAGCTGCAAGTAAGGGCTCAAAAAGTCGCATGAGCATGAAGCTCCTACATGCGGCCCAAGACAAACGGGAGTGTAATATCCAAGGGGTTTGAATCGCTTTTCACAATGCAGCAGGGAGTTGCGGGTAGCGGCGAAGCTGCATTAGTTGCGACCATGAGCCCCAATTTCATTAGCGGTCAGTGAATAATCCACCGAGGTGTAAAATCAAACATGTGCGCTTCCACCGCTCCCTGTGCCCGTGCAGCTCCCCGCACCCGCGCAGAAGCAGCATCAGCAGCAGCACAACCAGCAGCAGTGAACCTCGCATGCCGTAGGCCGATCTGCAACACACGTTGTCCGCATGAACCATTGGATGTCAGCTATCAATTGCTTTGTAGATATTGTGCCACCTCTGCGGCCTGGCTTCCCTCACTCCTGATCCCCGGCAGATTGATTTTGCAAAGGTTTACTGCCAATGCCAAACCAACGTTTCTCAAATCCCACATTTGGATTACCTTCCGCAAGGGCCTACGGAATCGACTGGGTTGAGTGCCACGCAGCAGGCGATCCACTTGCAAATGGCTCGGACATTGGGGTCCCGTTTTGGATTTGGCCTAAGCCGTCAGTGTATGATTTTTGACCGAGATCGTGGGCGGCTAAGCTTCTCGATTGCAAAATTAAGCGTAGCGCTCTGGGCCAGTCGCTGGTCCCATAGCTTTTGTAATAAGTTTTTAGCATAGAGACATCGACTTTTTCTCCGTGTAGCTAACAGGATAGCTTCCCATGCAATGAACCTGCATTTGCTTGGAAGCTCGGCTTTAGCTTGTCGCGGTCACGGGTTCGGCAGGGCATGGTGGAGTCCACATCTGCTGAGACCAACTAAAAGCCACAGCTCCGGATCCTGAACCCCACGTTAAACCCACGTAAAGTCGCGACTTAAAGCCAAAATAGTCAGTCCCCTAATCCTTTCTGATTTGGGCATGTGGGCGGCTCGATCTCCGATTCCCCAAAAACCAAAATTCGAAAACAGTCGAAGCCCGCATCGTCGCTTTACTTGACCCTTTTGCCCTTTGCATTTTCTTTGAAGCGCACCCTTCATCATTTGAACGCCAGCCCTACGCCCACTTAGTGGTATCGGCTGTGGGGTTTAGGTTTCGGGGCTTAGCACCTGACTTCGAGTTCCGGTGCATATAGATATTAGATATGGTTGCCATACTTGCAAACCTAACTTATGACGTCTGAGCTTAGAAGACCCCGCACTCCAAGCCTGGGTATATTAAAGCAAAATTTTGCAGGGACCATGAGGGGATGCTATCACTACGTACTCCGACTCCTAACATCCCAAACCCTTCATCTGAAATTGTCAAAACCCAAAATCTTGAGACGCTAAACTCTTAACCCCGCATGAGAGTTTCCTGAATTAAAAAGCCATGCGAAGCCGAGGCCGATGCCTTGGAAGCATGCGCTTGTTGGGTGATCCTCGATGAGGCTGCGGTTTAGGATGTTAGGTTTGAAGAGGTGCGTGTTTTTTTTTAAGGTTTCGTGTTAAGAGTTCAGGGTTGAGGGCATGAAAGTAAACATCCTGGAGCTGCATAATTCCAAAGCTTAGCTTTGGCACTACAGGTTGAGGCTTGGGCCTACGTGTTTCAGGATTTGGGTTCAAGGTTTAGGGTTCTAGGCCCTATACACCCTAAACCCTAAGCCTTAAAAGGTTTTGGATAGGTCCCGGCTAGCGGCGAGGTCTTGTTGGATGTATGTTTAAGGACTGCGGCTCGTGCTTTCAGGCTTTGTATGTCTTAGGAAGCTTCAAGTCTTAGGGTTCGGTAAGGCACATTATTTTGCTTGCACGGTTCAGGGATTGGGAGTCTATCGTGTTTTGATTCTGGGTTTAGGGGTCTTTGGGTTTATATTCTTATTTACTCTGGGAGCTTTAATTAAGGCTTTGTAAGTTTTCTGGATTTGGACTAAATCTTAAAAGTCCAGTGGAAAGCACCGTCAAGAACACTTTTCCACGAATCAAAGAGGACTTTCTATAGATCCCTCCAAAGAGCCCTAGAAGTAACACCTGAACCTTAAACCGCCCTATAGAACCGAAAGCATACAGCAATAAACCCTCAACCCCTATATCCTCAACCCTAAGCCTTAAACGCTAAACCCTGCCTGCAGCGCAAAACAGCAAACTTTTCTAAGGAACTATATATCGAAACCACAATAAGAAACCCTTCACAGGTTGCTTCAAAGGTTGGTCTTTCGACCTAAACCCTAAACCCTACACCCCCTAAACCCCTAAACCTGCAGGTAAGCCCCGGTTTTTGAAGCCAAAAGCAAGCCTGGTCGCAGGGGCGGGCCACGTCTCCGAGTGCGCCCTGCACCCAGAGCTCTGCTGTCATACCCAGAGAGCCCAATACCCCTTTATTAAGGAATATGGCTCAAATCATAATATGAAGCTCTTCATGTTTTTAAGCCATATTCCTTAATTCATAAAGGGCTTTATATTATGATTTAGGCTGTATTCCTGCTTTAAAAGGTATTGGGCTCTCTGGGTACTTGGAACTCTGGGAGCTTGAGAGAATTCAAGAGTTTAGGGTTTAGGAGGAGTCGCAGTCCGAGTTTCGGGTGATTTCGGGTAGGAGTGACTGAAGCGTTTGAAGATCAAGCATCCAATTTCCGGGCTGTTTTCTGAGTTTAGACTGTGCAGTATATCGACTAAACGGGCACACTCTTGCGCCAGCAGTCTTTGGATGTTCAGGTTGGACTGAACAAGTTGAGTGCAGACTGTGCACATGTATCCTGGTTCCCAATATTGAATGTTGTAGGCGTTGCACTTCAGCGGCACGGCAGGCTCCTCCGAGTTCGGGCATTGCATCAGTGATATCTTTTGCAGTTGGGCTCCGGTAGCAGAGAGCAGTCCGGTTGGCGCCGCGGACCTCGATGGGAAGGGTTGCCTTACTGGTCGGCATCAATGACTACACCGACGAAGTCGGAAAACTGCAACATGCAGTGTCAGACATGAAAGCATGTGAAGAGGCGCTGACCAACATTGGGTATAGATGTATGACATGCGAGAATCAACCTCGCAGCAAATTCCTCGAAACATTTGGCAATTTCCTTCAACTTGTCTGCGACGATGATAACACCGTTCTTTTCAACTTCAACGGGCATTGCCAGCTTGTGAATGAGAACGGCAACGAGAAACCAGCACTAATTTTCGATGGTCGAGGACAGCAGGAAGGCCGGCATGTGATGCTTGAAGAGGTAATTGTGCAACTGATGAGGGCCAAGTGCAGCTACGATGCTGAAATCCTACTGCTGATGAACTGCTGCCGCAACTGCGAGAAGCCCGAGACATCTCTAAAAATATTGAATGATGCGAGTCATGTACAAGCCACCGGCAGGAACACCCATGGTCGAGGTTTGACAAGCATTTGGGCATGTTCCATTGGTTGCTGCGCTGCTGATACCAGCAGCTTCCGGCAAGGATTGTTGAGCTGTGTCGGACAAGAGTGTAACTTTTGGCAGTTGCACAGAAGTATTTCTACCAATGTGCGCTCCCACAACATGAACAGAGGTTTCATATTGTGGCAGAGGCCCTGGATCAGCTCAAACACCGGTTCCGATCGAAACGACTTCTTCCTGCCAGATTGGTCAAGGGCAAGATTTGGGCAGAAAACATATCCTGGAGCTCGGCTTAAGCACTATCCAGCCCAAAGCCATCGGGAAACCCAAACAAGCTCGCGGATGATTACCCTACAAGCTACCCAAACATCGTCCCCCCCTGCAGCCTCGAATCCTGCCCCGCCCTCGCCCCTCCAAGCAGCTTCTGCTACGGTGGCCGCCGAATGGCAAAGTCCGGCCCAGAGCCATCAGGAAACGCAGACGAGCCCGCGCCGAACTCTCCAACAGTCCACCCAAACATCGCCTCAGCATCCCACTGCCCTTCCCACCCCAGTAGTCGGTCGTGCCGATGCAGTCCGGCAGCCAGTACCGGAGATTGCCCCAGGGCCGGTCCGAACGGTCGGACGGCCAGCCCTTCCCACGCCGGACCATGTTCAAGCCCCTCTGATGTTCATAGTGTGTGCGAGCTTGCACCTGACCGTCTGGCTTCTCTTCGGGTGTGATTGCATAGAGCTGCAATGCACCGGGTGGTAGACTTCAGATTTGGCAATATGTTTATACAAAGGTTTTTCCCCATAGCTAACAAGAAGCCCCCACCATTCATTTTAACAAGCTTCAACAAGCCAGGTGGTCGTTCAATTTGATGACGATATCCATGTTCTGGGCAGCCTTGAGCTACAGCCAACGAGGTCAGCATGCAGAAACATGGATTGGTGCAGTCTTTTCTCGCCATTGGCCAGTCGTCGAGAACTTCGCGGTGGGATTATGGTTTCCCTTTTTCGTATCACTGGCGCAAGGCTATGCAGACCATGTGGAACGAGATGGACAACGAAAGGCGGTCGGCTATTGTGTGACGACATTCCTCATGACCGTTATGGCAAAAGATATCGCGAAGGAAATGTTTCGTGAATGGCGTGCTGTGGCCACTCCCGCTGCGCTGGCGCAAGCTTTCATCATGTGGAGGCGAGTCTTTTTGTTTGCATGTCTGCAGGTTTGTCCTGACATTTATGGGTGGTCTGTGGAAAGGTCTGGTAGGGCAGCGAAACCCTCCAGAGACATTCACTGGCTTAGAGACATTCAATGGCTTAGAGACATTCAATGGCTTAGAGACATTCACTGGCTTATAGTATGTGGGCTGGTATTGACTTATGTGCTCGATTTCCGATCCACGAGACGGAGTAAAGCCTTTACCCTTGTTTTGACTGGGTACTTGTGCTCGACAATTCTTAAAGTCGCCGCCATCAGGGGCATCCTGTATGCATCCCTTGACGGGTGCATATCCTTCTGCTTTGCCATGGCAATGTGGAGAAAGGTAGCGCAGAATTTCCACCCTCCGCAGTTGCCCAGCTAAAAGGAAGCTGTGAAGACTGCCATCATCATGTCTGATATCCGGTTCTTTCCAGAGCTTCCAAGCTCTTTGACATCCCAACCTTGTCGGAATAGCTGGTTAGTTGCAGCTAAATTCGCTAAAACTCTGAATCCTACATAAACTGCTCTAAGCCTTCACTGACAAAAGCCTTCAGCCCTAAACCCTGTTTATCATGATCCATCCCTGATCGGAGCATCGGTTAACTTCTCCGTTCATCGCAGCATGATCGTTCGTCGGCTGCATCCCAGTGCAGGCTTTCAGCCCATCCAAGAAGCTGAGTAAAATGGCATTTACAGGTGGTTCTTTCCAGCATAGGCTTCCCTATGTATTTTGAAGGAAGTTGTCTTTACGAGCCCCTACATGTGGTCCGAAGGTAGGACAAGTCTTTGGAGGACCCCTTAGAGGGTAATATTCTCGACCCTGCAGTTGATGTTTCAGTGTTTATGGTGTATCGTCTTGCTTTGAACGAACAACTAGAGTGATGAGTACATATCCTAGCCCACGTCCCAGTGCTACGTGCCCATCAAGTGTCCTGTAAGCTTTTGTCACTTTGCCTGCTAACTTCATCCTAAACCCCAAAGCGTAAACCTAGAAGCTTTGTCGAAGGTCAGCCCTTGCTGTGCTGTTGTGGCTGATACCCCAGAGCCGACCGCAACTTTCACGGAGAGACTTAGCCCTTGACTAAGTTGAAGCTTCTTGGGTGGCTGCTGTAGCAAAGCCAAACATGTATGAGGTCTAGGGGACCAACGTTCCACACGTGAAACAAGCTGCTACGTCCTACCATGTTGCATGAATCTGTTCTTGCAAGTGTCGCTGCGTTGGTTCCATCTCCGCCTTTGAGGTCAAAATGATTCAATAGGCATGCCAGTCGCTGCAGTGCAGCAACGCTTTCTTGTCGACGGCCTTACGGTGCACAAAACAGGGGCGTGTTGTCAACATCTTCGGCCCTAACAGACTCTAACCCTCCACGCCTAGAGGCTTAGGGGCTTGGGGCTTAGAGCGCCCTATCTCCAACTCTTACGTGAAACGGTGGATGGGGGAAATCTTGCACCTCCCAGATGCTGACTCACGATATCGCCAATCACCAAAATCCCGGACTTCAGGTTTGATATTCCCTAAGGGTCCATGTACCCAGATAGTATATACTTAGGCCTCAAAGTAATCAAAATTTGGGGCCAAAGTATCTACTATTTGGGTACATGGACCTTTTGGGAGTAATGATAGTGTGCCCTGTGGCTGGTGCAAGGTTTTTGCCGGAACCCACCGCCCTTCCCAGGACTGGATATGTATGTTAAAGAGGGGGTATGGGCCAATGGGGTACTCGCATGGTTGGTCTACTCTAAGTGGTGCGAAATTTCCTCCATCAGCAGAAGGGTCTGAAGGAACTCCGAAGCAAACGAGTGCTTCCATGGATCCTAAGATGGAAGCCTGCAGAAGTTAAGCCTTCCCGAGGCCAGATGCTGATTCCCAGCCCATCTTCTTTTACAGGCCTAATAGTAGAGTAGGCAACCTTTAGCCTGTTTTGGTTAGTACTATAGTCCCTATATAATCCCCATATAACGATCCGAAACGCTGAACCTGCAGGAAACTTAGAAAGAAGGTTCGACATGTCTTGATGGTGTGTTCATGGTTCCGTCAATCGTTCTTTGCCCCGACCCCTGCAACCATTATTTGTGCGGCTTCGAGACAGTCAGGCACAGACACAGCATAACTTCCGCTGCTCCGGAAGACTCAGCAGGGACAGTCAGTTCGATTTCCTTGGCCAAACTAGTTGCAACCCTCGGGGTCGCGAGTACAAGTTTAGGATTGAGGGCTGAGGGTTTGGGCATTTGAAGAGGGGTGTGGACTGAGCTAAAGGTTCAGGATTCGGTGCTTTTGACGTCTGGGCTTTGGATCCAGAATTGAGTGCCTGTGATTTTAAGTAAACTGAGGTGCAGCTCTACGATCAGTACAGCGAGGAAATCAAAGGGGCTAAGTAAATATCACTAGTTTGTTATTCAGGCTTCGATGTTAACTACCGTACCCCGCCCCACCCCCCTGCCACGTAGCCCAGCCATCCTTGCAACCGCTTCCGGCCTAGGCCGACGGCGAGCCGTACATGGTGGGCAGCTTACATCATGATCTTGCCGCACGCAACAGCGGAGCTGGTGTGACTTGTGAACTGTTTCCAAGCCCCGATACTAAGCCTAAGCCTTTGTAATTGGAGCCCCTTTAAAAGGAGCAATTCTGTTCTAATTGCCTATGAGCGCGGGTCATCCACTTTCGGCGTTGCTGTCGTTATTGCTCTTTACTCAGATTATCATGATGAGGTTTCCGACGTAGGCTAAGATTGAGTGGCTCTTGTCTGCGATCTTTCTGACATTGCACTCCCGCGAAACGCTGCTACGACGACGACTACCACTACGACGACGACTACTTCTACTGCCACTGCCACCTACCCCAGCTTCTGCTACTACTACAAAAGCAAACGCATCGTAAAGGAGACACGGATGACCCAAATCTCGCAAGCCCAAAATGTCGAGCCGCGAAGGTCTATGACCGACTACAAGGCTGCAGTGCTTGTTGAGAGCTGTGCTAAATGAAGGCATGCTTTGTGACTGTCTTCAGTATGCCTAAACCCTAAGCCCGAAACTCGAAGACAAGGAAGACCCAATCCCGAACGGCACTGTTTTCGGAGTCAGGGTTTAGGGCTTTGGGATCTGCGGAGTCCGGTGGAATTCGTAGCGACCTAAAGGATCAGAGGACTTAGTAAGTAGGGTGACCAGGAAGGTAACAATAGTTGTACTTATTTATGTCCGCGATTAATGGACTTACAACCCTACTTGCTAAGTCACATGATCCGGCAAGTAGGGGTAGTTTGGAAGTAGAATGAAGGCACTGCCAGGTTTTGGGGAATGGAATATGCCAAACACTAAACAAATATTAAACTGGCCCTAAACCTTCAACCACACTGAGGTGTGCAGCAAGACAGGCAGGCTGAAAGATGCAACATTCATTGCGCCGGGCATCTTCCTGAAAAGCGATATTAGGGCTGCAGGTATGGCCTGTCCTACTGGCCTACTTTCTGATGACCATAAAGCTCGAATAGAACTCAAGTCAATAGACTTCCACTCCATGTAATTGTTGACACAAGTCCATACCATACCTTCTGTCAGACCAGCATTGGCTCCACCTATGCAGCGGCTTGGCACTTAGATTCGCCCGTCTCACAGCTTCTGTGGGTGGGCATCGTGTGTTCAACAGATGGAGAACTCTAAGCCTAGTTGTGCCTGTATATTTGGTCGATAGGAACAAAAATGAAGCAGTGCTTTGACTTGGAGCTTGAGCGGTAGTTGAATTATCAGAGGGGGGTGCGTTTGGGGTTTGTAGGATTGTATCATTTCATATAGATCTTGGTACAGAGTTATAGGGCATTTGCTGACTATTCTTTGCCGTTCCCTTGAGGTCGTATCAAGTTTCACAGCTTGAATTCTTCATCTCATTCGTCAAGACAAGAGAGCCGGTGTGGTTCCTGGACAACCCCGATAGCCTTGAAGTATACTTGGCTTCTAGACCTTCGTACCCAGCCTTCTAATAAAGAAGCCTCACGCTTAACCTCCTAGTACACGCCTCACGTCCTCAGTCTTGGTCATGTCCTGGTGTGGTCCCTGCATTTTGGCGATAGTGGGTGTGCAGGGACGAGCTGCAGGGCTTCTTGTCACTGCCAACAGCGTGGAACCTCAATATCTTGAATCCTGGAAATGAAATTAACCCGAACCTCTCCCGACCCCCCCTTTCCCCCTCCCCCCAAACAAAACTGTTGCCGAGGCAGGTCTCTTGAGCCTCTTGCGATCGCTGCACTGCGCCAGGCCGTGAGAGAGGGGATCGGAATCTCAAGGTTTAGGGGTTAGGGCTCGGGGGGTTGAGGTTTCAAGTTTATGGGGTTTAGGGGCTTAGAGTTTGCGGTTTTAAGGGTGTAGGGGGTTTGGGGGTTCAGGGGTTTGGGGTGTAGGGCCTGTTGTAATTGTGGGTGTCGGAGTTAGGAGGCATTGGTTTGCGTATTGCGAGGGCTTTTTCAAGTTTCGGCTTAGGTCTTCTATACTGTTTAAGGTTTAGGGTTCGGGCGCCAAATCAAGATCTGTATAGGGTTCAGGCTTTAGGCCTTATATACAAGTTTTGTGGTTTAGGGTTTGAGGGTCAAGGTTTGTATAGGGCCAGGGTTGGGCTTAGAGTTTAAGTTTAAGTGGATGGGCTCCTGGAAGGCTTTAGTTCGAGTTTTTGGTTCGAGTGGTTTGCTAGGACCCAGAGTAGGCCCTTATTCCCTTTTTTAGGGGTTTAGGTTCTCTTTTAACACCCTTTAACCCAAAAAGGGCACCCCTTTTTTTTCCACGGCTACTCTTGGGTCTAGTTTGTCAATCTGGGCTTTCGGGCTCAGGGACTCAGAGCTTAGGATTAGGGGAGATTTTAGGTTCAGGGTCGAGGGGTTTAGGGTTTAGGGGTTTACGGTTCAGGGTTTAGGGTTTAGGGGTTTACGGTCGAGGGTTTAGGGTTTAGGGCTTTACGGTTCAGGGTTTAGGGTTTAGGGGTTTACGGTTCAGGGTTTAGGGTTTAGGGGTTTACGGTTCAGGGTTTAGGGTTCTAGTTTTGAAAGATTGAAGATTTTCGGGCTTGGGATGTAGGCCCCTAAACCTCATTGTTCTGCAATCTAGGGTTTTGTTTTGTTTTAGTTTCAGGGCGTCGTCTTTAGAGTTCGGGGTTTAGGGTTTAGGGCACATGATGCAGGATGCAGTTTTGTTTGTGTTGGCGAATTGGGACGTGGTTTTTGGGGTTCGGGTTCGGTTGTGCTTCGTTGTTTGGGATGTAAGGGGATCGTAGATTCGTCATGGGTAATCTGGTTCAGGGCTTTGTTTGCTTCTCTGTTTGGGCTTGCTCCGGCTTTGCATGCGTTCCTGGCCGATGCTTGTTCTCACGATGGCTCATCCGCCTCTTCCGTCTACGACGTC